TAAGGAACAATCTTCTATCATTGCTTGTTAAGAAACATCCCTTTTGTTTTTCTACTCCTGCACCGTCTACATCCAGGGTATCTAAGCTTTGCAGTCCACATACAGGGTCTAGGGCACAATGTCTGCCAAATCCTTGCACAAGCCTTCCGTCACATCAAGGCAAACCCCAACATTTGGGTGGTGGGGAGGGGTTGTTAGAAGAGAAGGTAATCTGTAAGGGCTAACAGGGTAGAGTTCAGCTATCAGCCCCCTCATCATTTTTTCTCAACTCCAACCTTCCTCTGTAACTGCATAGACTTCAGATATTCCATTCAGCCCTCTCAGGTCCTTTGAAACAATGTGTCATTGCCCCATTTGTCATTTGTGAATAGATATAAAAAAAAACATAATACACACTTTTTTTCCAAGGGATCACATCCCTCTGTTCTCAGCCGCATAAAAGCTGGAGGAGGAGAAATAGCAGCACACTGATCTCAGTAAATGGCTGTGCAGAGCCATCATTTCAAACAAAAGTGTTCTTTTTAGGGACCACCTTTTTTTCTGTGTGTCCAGAAATCTACTGTAGGCGGCGAGCATTACTTTAATTAGTGGCTGAGCATTCATTTATCATGGGCGTGGTTCTACAAGGAGGAGAAAGAAAAATGTGTTGCACAGTGCAGCGTAAAGTGATCATGGTTTATAAATTACGCTAAATATTTGGAGTGGCTTAAAAGTGGTTGTGGTTAGAGTCTGAGATGGATTACATAGTGCAGAATGCGGTAATGTTAAACACTTCAATACCGGGCACTTTTTTTTTACCCGCTTCCTGCCCAGGACACTTTTCACTCGCACGGCTTTGAATGACAATTGCGCGGTCATGCAGCACTGTAACCAACTAAGTTTTTAGCATTTTGATCATACAACTAGAGCTTTCTTTTGGTGGTATATAATCACCGCTGGGTTTTTATTTTTTGCTAAAATTAACAAAAAAAGACCGAAATTTTGAAGAAAAAAAAACGTTTTTTTTTGTTTCTGTTATAAAAGTTTTGCAATAAATAATTTGTTCTTCATACATTTAGGCCAAGATGTATTCTGCTACATTTCTTTGGTGAAAATAACCCAAATTAGTATTTATTATTTAGTCTGTAGAAAAGTTATAGAGTTCACAAACTGTGGGGATATATCCTGAATATTCACCAATCCTGAAGTACTGACAGCCAATCTAATTTCTTCAGGCCCAAAAATGTCAGAACAGTACAGAAATCCCCCAAATGAACCCATTTTGCAAAGCAGACAGTCTGACGTATTTCATAAGAGGCATGCTGAGTTTTTCTGAAGTTGTAATTTTTTTGTCATAAATTTTTTGGAAATGAAGAAGAAATTAAAAAAAAGTTCACAATTTGTTTTTAATATACTGTCACCCAGTGCAGTACAGTTTCATCATAAAACTGGCGTTGGCAGTGATCAGGGACACTGACTGGTGACAAAACGAAAAAAAAAATTTTTTTTCAATTTTTTATTACATTTATTTCTCTTTTTTTTAAAAAAAATTTTTCATATTACACTATGCCCAAAGTAGTATAATGTTACCATAGTAGCATTATACTACTTTGTGGAAGGGATCAGTTTTTTTTTTTTTACACAATTTGATTGCATGCATTTAACTGAAAGAAATTAATTCATTCAGGCTTTTTTGTTGTGATTAGCTGTGATTGGCCACAGCTGATCACATGACACAGAAAGGGGCTGTGATTGGCCCAGCCTGTGCATGTGATCACTGTGACCAGTCACAGCTAGAAACACTTGTATACAATGGACCTCATGAAAGAAAGCCATCCATTGTATACAACGGTCATGTGGCCTGCTGTGATAGTCACCGCAGGTCACATGGTACTGGATGATAGTCTGGTGTAAATGGACGGACGGTCCATTTACATCCAACAGCCAATAGAGGAAAAGCAGGCTGTGTCTGTGTCCGCTCTGCATAAGCAGGGCAGACACAGACCTATCATCTACCTGCTTATCGGGGAATGAGTGGACAGATCCCCCACTAAGCAAGCAGATTCACTGATGGAGTCTGCCATATGAAAGGGGCCTAAAAACCATAGTCTGAAACACTACTAATCGCATAATTGGTATCTGTAGTTGGGGTATTCTGTCTGATGAAGCCCAGTAGGACACATAGTTGTGCAAATTGTGCAGTTTTAAGGGATTTTTGTGGATTGAGCATTTGTTAATGAATAGAGGAAGACACTTTCATAGTAATATTGTCAAACAAGCTTAAGGGAGTTTAAAAGGATCACCCAACACTTACCCCGAACTTTCATCTGTAATAGAGTACCTAACAAATCCAGATATTTGCAGTAATAAGCTTTAATTCTGGATTTCACCACTGACTGATATTTGCATGGCTCCAGTGAATCAATTGCATGTATCAGTGGCCTCCACAGCACTAACTTACCTCCTTCCCCTGTTGCTCTCCCATAGTCTCTGCAGCCTGAGCTTCACATTCACCAGTAAAAGAGGGCCAGCTGCACCCCTTCCCCGAGACCTGCCCAATCAAACTGCGTCTAGCAGGCTCCCGCCTCTCACTGATGTTCCGGCGAGCAGTTGGAGACTCTGTGATTCCAGAGAGTGCTGCCCCGATTAGCTGCTAGTGAAGGAGGTACTGACCAATCCGCAAACACAGGCAGGCACCACTTGACTTCCTGAAAGAGGGATCTCTGAGTGTGTCTGTGATTACCCGGGGGCCCGCAACTCTGTTTTGCCATACAGTGTACCAGCAACTCTCTGCTGTCCGTGACAGAGCTTAATTTTCAGGATTCTGCCCAGGACAAGCTCTGAACAGGACATCTGTCATATCACCATGACTGTCTTGGGCATTTTTGGGACTGTTGGCAACTATGGTGGGGGAAGGGGGTGTCAGCACAAGCCTTATCATAGGAGAGAGCAGGCTGAGTTCCCAGCACAGCCAGTGCTCTTTCTGCCTAGCATAGTTAGTTTTTAATAGGAAAGCAGAGGGGGCTGGCAGCAACACCAGGGATTTGAAAAAAAAAGGAAGCAATACAAAAGAAAACAGTATACTTATTCATACAAGTACAGTGGGGCAAAAAAGTATTTAGTCAGCCACCAATTCTGCAAGTTCTCCCACTTACAAAGATGAGAGAGGCCTGTAATTGGCATCATAGGTAGACCTCAACTATGAGAGACAAAATGAGAAAACAAATCCAGACAATCAACATTGGCTGATTTGGAAAGAATTTATTTGCAAATTATGGTGGAAAATAAGTATTTGGTCAATATGAAAAGTTCATCTCAATACTTTGTTATATATCCTTTTGTTGGCAATGACAGAGGTCAAATGTTTCCTGTAAGTCTTCACAAGGTTTGGCACACACTGTTGCTGGTATGTTGGCCCATTCCTCCATGCAGATCTCCTCTAGAGCAGTGATGTTTTGGGGCTGTCGCTGGGCAACACGGACTTTCAACTCCCTCCAAAGGTTTTCTATGGGGTTGAGATGTGGAGACTGGCTAAGCCACTCCAGGACCTCGAAATGCTTCTTACGAAGCCACTCCTTCGTTGCCCCCCGGGCGGTATGTTTGGGATCATTGTCATGTTGGAAGACCCAGCCACGTTTCATCTTCAATGCCCTTGCTGATGGAAGGAGGTTTGCACTCAACATCTCACGATACATGGCCCCCATTCATTCTGTCCTGTACATGGATCAGTCATCCTGGTCCCTTTGCAGATAAACAGCCCCAAAGCATGATGTTGCCACCCCCATGCTTCACAGTAGGTATGGTGTTCTTTGGATGCAACTCAGCATTCTCTCTCCTCCACAGATGACGAGTTGTGTTTCTACCAAACAGTTCTATTTTGGTTTCATCTGACCATATGACATTCTCCCAATCCTCTTCTGGATCATCCAAATGCTCTCTAGCAAAACTTCAGACGGGCCCCGGACATGTACTGGCTTAAGCAGGGGGACATGTCTGGCACTGCAGGATCCGAGTCCCTGGCGACGTAGTGTGTTACTGATGGTAGCCTTTGTTACGTTGGTCCCAGCTCTCTGCAGGTCATTCACTAGGTCCCCCCTGTGATCCTGGGATCTTTGCTCACCGTTCCTTGTGATCATTTTGACCCCACGGGGTGAGATCTTGTGTGGAGCCCCAGATCGAGGGAGATTCAGTGGTCTTGTATGTCTTCCATTTTCTAATTATTGCTCCAACAGTTGATTTGTTTCACACACCAAGCTGCTTGCCTATTGCAGATTCAGTCTTCCCAGCCTGGTGCAGGTCTACAATTTTGTTTTCTGGTGTCCTTCGACAGCTCTCTGGTCTTCACCATAGTGGAGTTTGGAGTGTGACTGTTTGAGGTTGTGGACAGGTGTCTTTTATACTGATAACAAGTTCAAACAGGTGCCATTGATACAGGTAATGAGTGCAGGACAGAGGAGCCTCTTAAAGAAGAAGGTACAGGTCTGTGAGAGCCAGAAATCTTGCTTGTTTGTAGGTGACCAAATACTTATTTTCCACCATAATTTGCAAATAAATTCTTTCCAAATCAGCCAATGTGATTGTCTGGATTTTTTTTCTCATTTTGTCTCTCATAGTTGAGGTCTACCTATGATGCCAATTATAGGCCTCTCTCATCTTTTTAAGTGGGAGAACTTGCACAATTGGTGGCTGACTAAATACTTTTTTGCCTCACTGTACATGCAGGCACATATTAGGAATATGAAGTTTTGAGCTTACATACTACTTCTGAATGCAGCTTTAAATAAAAACTATGGAAAAAATGGACTATAAAAACATGACATTTTACTGAAATTGGAGGAAGAACAATCCAATTAATAGAAATAGAAACATAAGTAAAAAATAAGTATCTTAAATGTTAACAAATTTTGAGCTTCTTAATGACCCTTTTCATTTTTCAGGCAGTGTTCTCGCAGATCTTCAGAAACAAAGTTGAACTTCTCCATCTACTACATTAGTCCATATATAGTCAGCTTTTTAGAAGATCAGTCTAACTTATCCATATCTAATGTGACAATCATCATTTGAATACTATGCCGCCCTGGAAGGTTGGATTCAGCCAAGCATTCCTTATCAGCATTGAACATTTTCAGTGGAACGTTGGTACATTTGAGATTCCATTTGGAGAGCAGAGCTTCAATCGACCAGTCCTCACTGTAGACAAATATTAATGATTTTAGTTGCATGGTTCTAATATATGCCTTATCTACACAATTCTAAAAAAAACCCCAAAAAAAACGAATTATGTCACAACATAAATTCGGTTCCTTGCTACAGAAAGATTATGCAGGCTGTGGTTTGCCAACCCAGTGTTGAATGTCATTAAGCCCTAATATTTTAGTTTCATTAAAAACAACACTTTTGGTGTCTCAGAACATTGGCAGTTTTGGAGTCACAAAAATGGAATGATGTTTTCAGAGTTGTAAAGCATGGTCTTACTGTACACAATGGAAATACTGTAGCTGTAGAGAATTTTCTTCAAAGGAAACCTGTCAAGTTAGCTGCCACTAGATTGAAGATCCTCACTGTCATTGATGTAAGGCTTTCACCTGTCAAGTTGACTGTTTGCTCTCTGTTAAAAGTGGTTCAGGCATCTGTAAAGCCACCTGATCACTTCCACACATCCTGGAAGGTACTTGATCAGCTTCAGTGTGGTCCAGAGGTGACATTAGGGGTCTGAAAGATCCCTGATGTCTTCTTAACCGCTTGCCGCCCTGCCACTGTATATATACGTGTGCAGGGCGGCACTCAGGCGCAAAACCACGTTTTAAAAACGGGTTCCGCACTCCCGCCGTTCTCGCCGGCAGGGGGCGCGCGCGCGCGCACACTCCCGCCGACCCGCGGGTGACACGATTCGATCCTGGAGGGATCAATCATTAGATTTCAGCCAGTGATGTCTAGCTGAAATCAGATGATCGGTCCCTGTCCTATCCTGTCCTGTGTTGACATTTACACAGGACAGGATATGATGTCATTCTTCTCTGCCTGGACACATTCCGTTCCAGACAGAGAAGAAGACACAGTAAAAGTGAGTACAAAGCACTACACTAACAGTTAGAACACACCTAGGTCACATTTAACCCCCTGATCGCCCCCCCCCCCCCAGTTAACCCCTTCACTGCCCTGTCACCAGTGTAACTGATCAGTGAAGCGATTTTTACTGATCACTGTATCAGTGTCGCTGGCGACTTCCGATAGCGTTAGCGCCCCAACCAGATAGCGCCATTTTGCCCGCTAGTACACCAGTAATCCCATTTAACCCCTTAATCTCCCCCCCCCCCGTTAACCCCTTCACTGCCCTGTCACCAGTGTCACTGATCAGTGAACCGATTTTTACTGATCACTGTATCAGTGTCGCTGGCGACTTCCGATAGTGTTAGCGCCCCTCCCAGATAGCGCCAGATTGCCCGCCAGTACACCAATAGTCCCGTTTAACCCCTTGATCGCCCCCCCCCCCCCCCCAGTTAACCCCTTCACTGCCCTGTCACCAGTGTCACTGATCAGTGAACCAATTTTTACTGATCGCTGTATCAGTGTCGCTGGCGACTTCTGATAGTGTTAGCTCCCCTCCCAGATAGCGCCAGATTGCCCGCTAGTACACCAGTAATCCCATTTAACCCCTTAATCTCCCCCCCAGTTAACCCCTTCACTGCCCTGTCACCAGTGTCACTGATCAGTGAACCGATTTTTACTGATCACTGTATCAGTGTCGCTGGCGACTTCCGATAGTGTTAGCGCCCCTCCCAGATAGCGCCAGATTGCCCGCCAGTACACCAGTAATCCCGTTTAACCCCTTAGTCGCCCCCCCCCCAGTTAACCTCTTCACTGCCCTGTCACCAGTGTCACTGATCAGTGAACCGATTTTTACTGATCACTGTATCAGTGTCGCTGGTGACTTCCGATAGTGTTAGCGCTCCTCCCAGATAGCGCCATTTTGCCCGCTAGTGCACCAGAAATCCCATTTAACCCCTTGATCGACCCCTCCCCCCCCCCCCCCCCAGTTAACCCCTTTTACTGCCCTGTCACCAGTGTCATTGATTACAGTGAACAGATTTTTACTGATCACTGTATTAGTGTCACTGGTGACTTCCGATAGTGTTAGCGCCCCTCCCAGATAGCGCCAGTTTGCCCGCTAATGCACAGGATTTTTTTTTTTTACCAAAACATGTAGCAGAATACATTTTGGCTTAAATTTGTGACTAACTTTGAGTTTACGATATATTTTTTATAGCTGAAAGTAGAAAATATTGTTTTTTTTTTTTTTCAAAATTTTCGTGTTTTTTTTTAATTATAGCGCAAAAAATAAAAAGCGCACAGGTGATCAAATACCACCAAAAGAAAGCTCTATTTGTGTGAAAAAAAGGACGTAAATTTTGTTTGGGTACAGCATTGCATGACCGCGCAATTATCATTTGAATTAGCGCAGCGCCAAACAGCAAAAAAAGGCCTGGTCATTAAGGGGGGTAAATCCTCAGGTGCTCAAGTGGTTAAGAAAGACCTGTCATGCCCATTATGTTGTCACATAGGATAGCAATAAAGTTACCAAATTTTTCGCTCCATAAGACGCACTTTTTTACCCCACAAAATTGGGGAAAATGTCTGTGCGTCTTGTGGAGTGGCCGGCCTGGTACTCCCCGTCGCCGCCGCCGTGTTAGAATACCAGGCCAGCCGCTCAGCTCTACTGTACAGAAGAACCCGCTCCTCCACCCTACCTGTTCCTTGGTCCAGTGGTGTCCTGCTTACATTGGCCGTCTTCTCTCCCTGGCTTCACAACCGGGTGCCCACTGCGCATGCGCGAGAAAGCACTGTGCTTTGTGTATGGCCCCATACTCTGGTGGGACAACGAGGGGGGGGGGGACAACTCTATGGAAGTGGGAGCAGGTACCTGTCTCTGGTCATCTCCTGTACTATGTCTGCAGTCTCTGGTCAATTCCTGTACTATATCTGCAGTCCATTGGTTCAGAATTTATTTTTTCTTGTTTTTCCTCCTCTAACATCTAGGTGCATCTTATGGTCAGGTGTGTCTTATGGAGCGAAAAATACAAGTACATTTTAAAAAACTGCCAAAAAATGTGTTAAAGTCTCCATGCACCTAAAAGCTCATGTAAAAAAATGACAATTGCGGTACACATATTGGATATTGCCACACATGCCAGATAGATGAGAGCAATAATTGTAGGGCTATACTTCACAATCAACTCTAAACTGATGCCCTGTAAAGGCTTTCAAAGTGTTGCTCATAGACAAAGTTTATGCTGTTTCATGGGGGGGCATAGTTTTAAGGGTGAAAATGCTAGACATCTATTTACTCAGCACTACCTCTTTTATGTTTTACCAAAAATAATGGATAATATATTGGGGGAGATTTACTAAAACTTGTGCACTCTGAATCTGGTGCAGCTGTGCATGGTAGCCAATCAGCTTCTAACTTTAGCTTGTTCAATTAAGCTTTGACAATAAAACCTGGAAGCTGATTGGTTTCTCTCTGCAGAGCTGCACCAGATTTTGCACTCTGTTAAATGTGTTATGCAGAATGAAGGAAGGAAAAAAGGGAGGGGAGGAAGGAAGAAGGAAGGAAGGGGAAGAAAGGAAGGAAGGGGAAGAAAGGAAGGAAAGAAGGGGAAGGAAGGAAGGAAGAAAGGAAGGAAGGAAGGAAGGGAGGAAGGAAGGGGAAGAAAGGAGAAGGAAGGAAGGGGAAGAAAGGAGAAGGAAGGAAGGGGAAGGAAGGGGAAGAAAGGAAGGAAGGGAAAGGAAAGAAGGAGGGGAGGGAGGAAAAGAAGGAAAGGAAGTAATGGAGGAAGGAAGTAAAGGAAAAGAAGGGACGGAAGGGGTAGAAGAAAGGAAGGTTGGACTCACATGGATGGTTCCTGGATCACATGTTCAGTCAGAAGCATCACAAAGCTGCTGGCTGCTCTATATTCAATTTCCTGTCCACACATCCTCTTCTGCGCGACACATACTGGAGTGTGGGAGGGCACAGGGGGAGGCAGAGCTGATCCAGCCTGACTCCTCTCCTTTCCTATTGGTGCGGAGGATGTGGGGAGGGGCTGGGCACTCAGGAGCACACAGGGGAAGCCCGCAAAGAAACTGAAGGATCAGGGATGATCAGTGCAGCGGTGGGGGCAGTTACAAGGACTGATCTCCCTGTATGGCTTTCAATGAAGCAGCTGGAAGCCACGTCTCCTCCTCTCCCTCCCACGGCTTTCAGCTGTTTCATTGAAAGCCAAACAGGGAGATCGGTCCTCTCCCACCCACCCCTAGTCCTAACACTGCTCGCCGCCACGTTATTTACGCTCACCCAATGCGAGCGGGCAAGTGGAAATTTTGAGGGCTGCATACACTATATTATCAAACAGATGGCACTGTGAATATTGAAAGTTTGAGAACTTTTACAGGAGCATCACTATAGTTTTTAAATCCTTGTGGAATTGTACTATAAAGACATCCCTTTCTGTGTTTCTGCTGGCTGGCCACACTAGGCAAAGCCCAATTTATGGCCTTTCGTATCAGGGAACTACAAACCCCTCGCTCTCTACCTTAAACTAAAAAAAAAAAAAAAAAAAAAAAAAAAAAAGAATGTTTTGGGTTTAAATACAAACTCCCAAATGTTATACCAAATTTTCCCTTCCATAGACAAGTCAAAAGTGAAAGTTTGTTCAGGCTGTGGCAAGCAGTGCACATGTAGTCATGTACACTGTTCTATGCACACTACAAACCCCCTAGTCCATAGGCCTTCTCAAGAGTGAACAAGTGAGAGTGGCTACTTTCCTATATACATTGGTGCCATGGAGAACGAATGTAGCCACTAAGAGAAACTTGGATCACAGCAGCAAAAAAAAAAAAAGAAAAAAGTAATTTGGTGATTTGGAGAAGCCTGAGAGCAACAAAAAGGTACTTTGAGTTAAGAATACATACTTAAATAGGGTTTTTTTTATTTCTTAAAGCAGAATTTTACCTATAGCAACTTGATAAAAAATGATGTTCTTTAGCAAGGAACATACAGTACATTCCACATTGATAATTATGCTGTAAATTGCCTCTAGCATTGCTCCTGTTTCTTCTTGCTTGAGGCTGCTGTTTTGCTGAATCCCAAAGTCCCTGAGCAGTAATAAATCTTTGGCTGACAGCAGATCGACCTCTACATTTTTGGCACAGTGCCAAAAAAATAGAGAGCAACTGAGCATGTGCAGAGAAGGGTGAGACAGTACATTACTGGATTTTAAACAGTATAGGCGCTCATTTTTAATGTTTTACATAGCTATACCTGCAAAAAAGGGGCCAGCCTGAAGTGATCTAGCAGGACTTAAGTTTCTGATTAAAGTTCTACTTTACAACAGAGTTTAGTGTCACTTTAGGACTATGGCTGTCGGTTTTCTAAAACTGTCTGTACATCATGATATTGGACGCTGTCCTACCATAGTACTAGATATATAGTTCTAATATGACCAATTTCAGAATTCCCTTTTTTCTCTGTTTATACAGAATTTGGTGCATCCGGCATCTGATATATTTCTATAGACAGACTTTTGACAAATGCCATCCCATGGGTCTGTGTACCTGATTTTAAAATACAGCATTAGAATAGAATAGAATCTTAAAGACCAACTCCACCTTTTTGAGTATGTTTTAGGTTACACCCATATTTAGGTACAGATGGGGGGGGGGGTTCTGTCACATTTTAAATCTGTGCGACTGTGCATGGACCAGCCTGCAGAGACCTGCCATTCATTTATTGGAATATGTGAAATCAAAAACTACAAGTCCCACCTCCCGTGGCAAAGGGGCTCATAGTTCTCAATGGAGCACAAATGTAGTCTATTGACATTTCCTCCAGTCTCAGCTTCATTGCTTTCAAGGCCTTTGTGTAAAAATAAGTAATTAATGCTTTTTTTTATATGGGTGCATTATTTATTTATTTGCAAAAGGTGGATTTAGCCTTTAACAGACCAACATCTTTAACCAGCAAAGCACCTTCTAACTTGATAGGTTGTCCAGAATTCAGCCTTGGGATTTCTTTCCATTATAAACCGAACAGTTACTATAATGTCTTCAAAATCTACAAATGAATTCAAACTATTAGGATACAGTGTAGTTTAACAAACGGTTACTTATACAGCACACACAAACTCCATACAACACTGGTTATTTTACATCATTCTAAATATTACAATAAAAAGTAAAATAAATATACCAGTACAATTATTTTACATAAACTCTTATAATGGAAAACGCCTTTTTAAAATGTATCTTTTGTCATGCTATTTGCTTTTCTGATGATGTTGCCATTGTCTGACTCACAACCAGCATGATAATTTCAGAGCAGTAGGGCACTTGTTCATTATCAGTGCAAGTGAGGTGACAGACTAATATGCAGTGTGTAAGTCAGACAATGGCAGCTTCCAGCAGACAGGTAAATTAGACAATGGCAGCTTCCAGCAGACAGGTAAATTAGACAATGGCAGCTTCCAGCAGACAGGTAAATTAGACAATGGCAGCTTCCAGCAGGCAGGGATGTAGAATAAAGGCTTATAGTGATTTTGTACACATTACTTTATTATGCTCAGGACTAACATTTTCAAAAAATTATTTTCCTTTTTAGTCAGGCAGGTGTAAAATATTGCACTTGAATAATTTTACTGTTCATTAAGGGACACAGAATCGGTAGTTATTCTGATACAAATGGGTCATACTGTATTCTTAAGGATTTGGACACTGGCAAATAAAAACCATTGCCCAGCCATGTATAACCTCTTCCACTTCCAGCATGTATTAGTTTTTTGCAGGTGTCATAGGAGGATGAAAAGTTTGCCCTTTTTATGTTTTTTGGTAGCCTTTTTTTCAAGATATTTTTTCTTCAATCTAAGTGCTGCTGAGCTCAGCTCACTATGCAAGCTATCTGGATTGGTTAATCTTTGGTGCCGCCTTGAAGGCCGTACCATGACCCTGCTGGACTGAAGACTGCAGGACTACCATGAAATATGCATTTTGGCACTGGGCTCTGCCAGTGGCACTATCCAATATTTTAAATACTGTGTTTATTTGCAGCAGAGAGGTTCCCAGGTACAGAGCCATAGTACTTGCTTTGGTGTGCCCAGTCTCTTGGCTTTTATTAGCTTTTGGAACTGAACATTTGGAACTACTACATTTATGTATCTTTATTATCTTTATGTCCCTATTTCATCAGCTACCGTGCTGAGAAATTATTGATGCAACATCAGCTAGATAGTAGCTCGTGCATAATCCTCGCTCTTTTTCCAACCTTCTTCCCACCTTTCACCTATTCTTTGTGGTCATTTGATCCAGACGCAGCAGCTTTCCTGCATCAGTAAGCAGCTGCTGTAGTGGGTGGGAGGGAGCACTGACAACAAGGGGCAATGGAAGTCAGTGTCTGTGAATTTAGCCTTGTTGTCACTCTGGGACACAGGGAAGCCACTGATTTCTGGATTGCAAAACTGCACCCAAGCTGAATAGAAAAAACTCTTTACTCTGGTCTCTTTTATAAATTGTTTGCAACATAGGTGGGTGGAAGAAGGAGGCAACATTTTTAAGCTACCTTATATTAGTCTTTACTTCCACTTTAATGGTACTCTGGCAAGAGTTTGAAAAACTTTTCTAAATCATATCTTTCCCTTGGCATGCAACCTGCTATAGTGGTTATGTAGGACTGTTAGACTGGAATGGATTCTGCTTATGGATATTAACCCAGGTACAATCCTAACTGATCATTTAAAGGCAAACCTCCAACACGCCATGATACATGTTACACCCATTTTTAAGGGAGTAACATGTAACATGGCTGCAAGCTGACCCCCCCCCCCCCCCATAGCAACTATCACATTTGAATTTGGAACGACTGTCCCCTTCTGCTCTTAGCCATTCACAGACCTCATCTTACTATAACCCCACACTGTGCTGTGTTCTGAAAATTAGTGGAGTAGGTCCTGTCATTCAACTGCTGTGCTACTTATTCACAGGACACAATGCACTGTGGGATTGTAGTCCACTCACAGGACTAAGATTAGTCCTATGAGTGGCAGACACAGCAGAAAGGGACGGGCGGATGTCACAGCTTTCCTATGAAACCAAGGCAGCAGTTAAAGTCTGGGTTCCCATTTCTGAACATGTTACAAGTCACACTCGTATTTAGGGTGTAACATGTTCAGCATGCTTTCCCTCTCGTGCCTGTGACAGAGGCCCACACGCCCAAGTCATTCATTCACAGTATCCTGTGAATGAATAAACTACAAGTACTGTCAGCCACTGAAGCTCAAGGCGCTGGTGAGTTCTGGAAGTTCATTGATACAGTGAGAAATATTTAGCAGAAGTAGACACTTGTTAGGTAATAGACACACAGTTTCACATAACTAATGTGTATGTTGCTGTATCGCCCAAAATTAAAAAAGCTGAGCTTTAAATATGGTAAACATCAACTATCTAGCCCTGTCCTTAATATTACATAGCAGGAAAAAACTTTAGAAAAGGGAAACCCCTGAAATAATTTAACTATTTTTTTAAGTTATGCTAAGTAAATGGTAACATGTAACAAATATAAAGTAGAATTAACCCAAAATGGTTGAAACCTGGAAATAGACTTTAAAAAACTGATGCCAAAGTATCAGCATGACACCAAGGCAAGAATTTTCCTGAGTTCAGTAAATATGCTACATATTTGTCTAGGTACAGTTGCTCGTTAGCAGGACATTTTTCTTATACATAGCTGAATACATTTTTCTTTTGAGTTTGGCTTTGCAGCTTTACCCTTTGGTTCATAGAAGACATCAGATCCCAGCACTATGTCGATAGGAGGAAGGTCCAAGAGATCAGGTGATATCTCACCCCACGTCAGTCCTATGACCGGTACTCCCAATAGATGATTCTGTCTGCAGCTCCTAGAACAATTCTGTATGCACTGTGGCATAGCTGCTGAATCCGATAATATTACATTAGCAGCACACTTTGCAGCCAGCACACCAGGGAGGCTCACACCTGCTCCAACCTTCAAAAGCAAGTTAAAAATATATGAGGTAGAAACAACACTTTACAATTCTTTCTATATGCTATTTAATCTACTTTATATCATGGGTGTCAGACTACATGTACCCCAAAGGACTACTTTTGACAGGTTTAGGGGGTATATTTGCTGGAAAAAGGAACCTTCCCTGTGAAATGAATTCACTACAGTAGGATTAAGCTGACTTCACTGACTCCTTACAAACAGAGATCTGTGTGTTGGACTAAGGGCAAACTCACACTACTGCATTGTGGTACATGCGTTAGTGTGTTGCAGTGCCATTCTTTCTGCAATGCAGTTCCAACTCACATATATTGTAGTGCACCACAATGCATGGTGGATTTCTAGAAGTTAGAAAAAATGCTGCATGTATGTTTCTGTCTGTTGTTGTGTATTGGCAGCCATGCAAAATGAATGGATTGTCCCAAAGGGTTAGTTCACCTGTGCAAAAAAAAAAAAAAAAAAGTTTATGCAGGTAAGGGGTGCTTATAATGCCCTTATTATAGGGGTAGGCCATTTATGTACCTCCTTAAACCCGGCCAAAAGTCTCCCAGAGATGGCATCATCCCATCCTGCCTTGCTGACAGGGCATTACTAATGCAGGCCATAGACGGGTCAAAAACCGGCCGTTTTAAAAAAAAAAATAAAATGAAAAATCGGTCGTTCAATAGGCCGACGTTACCACCAATGGTGAAAAAATAAATAAATAAATAAAAATAGGCCAATTTCGCCCCATCTACGGCCGGCATTTAATTACTTCTGTCCCTTGCAGAGAGCTCCGCTATTATATTTGACATGAAAAAGTATTGTGGTTGCAACAATGTATCCATTTGTATCCATTTCGGATACAGATGTTTTTATTCGGATACAAATAGATACATTGTTGCAACCGCAATACTTTTTCATGTCAAATATAATAGCGGACTGGAATTCTTCTTCTTTTAGGCCGATTTTTTTTCCAACTTTACCGATAAAAAAAATGTGCCAAAACCCCGAAAAACGGCCGACCAATTAACCAACTAACGGTGCGAAAATCGGCCGATTTTTTTTTTGGCCGAAAAATTGGCCAATTTTCGACCCGTCTATGGCCTGCATAAGACACTCCAAGCTAATTTAACAACTTAAGGACCACGATATAGCAGATATACTGCTGCAGGGCGGCACCTGTGCACAGGATCACTTATATATATGTAATTTTGCATTTCTGGGTAGGGGCGCGCGTGCTACCATTCGTGGCTGCGGATGTCAATCACTGAGTCCCAGCCGCTAATTATTACCCGCCGGCGCCCGGTGATTACTGAACATCTCAGACAAAACAATCTTCCTCCCTGTCAGCTCGAGCAAGCTGCTCGGGATGGCTGTGCACAATACAGCCATCCCGATCAGTGTGCTTACAGTGAAGAACACCCCCCCCGCCCCCTAGTAAAACACTCCCAGCACACATTTAACCCTTTGATCGCTCCTCACATTAACCCCTTCCTGTCCAGTGCCATTAGTACGGTGTCAGTGCTTTTTTTTTTTTAGCACTGATCACTGTATTGGTGTCACTAGGGTGTCAGTGATACCAAGTTAGTTCCACCCCAGTGTCAGAATGACCGCCGCAGTCCCGCTAAAAGTCGCTGTTCGCCACCATTACTAGTAGAAAAAAAAAATCCCATTATCTATACCGCCATTTGTAAACGCTATAACTTTCACGTAAACCAATTAATTTGCACGTATTGGGATTTTTTTTTTAGCAAAGACATGGAGCAGAATACATTTTGGCCTAAATTTTATGATGAAATTTGATTTTTTACTGGACATCTTTAACCACTTCAATACAGGGCACTTATACCCCCTTCCTGCCCAACTTTCAGCGCTGTCGCACTTTGAATGATAATTGCGCGGTAATGCAACACTGTATCCATATGAAATTTTTATAATTTTTTTCACACAAATATAGCTTTCTTTTGGTGGTATTTAATTACCACTGAGGTTTTTTATTTTTTTTGCTAAATAAAACAAAAAACACCTGAAACTTTTGAAAAAAAAAATGCGATTTTCTTAGTTTCTGTTATAAAATTTTGCAAATAAATAAAATTTCTTCATGAATTTAGGTCAAAATGTATTCTGTTATATTTCTTTGGTGAAAATAATAATAATAATTGAATTATTTTTTTTTATTACATTTTTTCTTTTTTTTTATGATTTTATTTTTCAGCACACTGTGACCAAAGCAATACAATGTTACCATAGTAGCAGCGAACTAATCTGGGCAAGTGATCAGGATTTTTTTTTTGTTAACACATTTGTTTGCTAATAACAATGTAGTTCATTGATATTTGCAATCATTGTTACTGAATGAAACAGATTCAGTCTTTTGTTGCGATTAGCTGTGATTGGGTAAATCTGATCACATGATACAGATGGGCTGTGATTGGCCCTGTCTGTATCATGTGACTGCCTTGACCAGTCACAGCTAACAACATAATTGTATACAATGGATGGCATGACAGGAAGCCATCCATTGTATACAATTGACGTGATCTGCTGTGATTGGTCACAGCGGTCACATGACACTGGCAAGGAGCCGGTGTAGTGATATGTCATCCGCTGTGTCCCGTTGACACAGCCGGTGACAGATTGAGCTGCTGTGCGGCCCCGCGGCCGCGTTAGCGCCTCGTTTTGACAGGACGTCATATGACACCTAGTCACAACGGCGAGTGTCCCGTCTGGCCGTCAATCTGCAATAGGCCGGGCGGGAAGGTGTTAATAGCAAAAAGTCCAAAATATTGTTTTTTTCTCAAAATTGTCAGTCTTTTTTGGTTATAGCGCAAAATTAAAAAAAACTCACAGGTGATCAAATACCACCAAAAGAAAGCTCAATTCGTGGAAAAAAAAAAAAGGATGTAAATTTCATTTGGGTGCAGCGTTGCATGACCGCGCAATTGTCAGTTAAAGTAACGCTGCTCCATAATGCAAAAAATGGCCTGGTCATGAAGGGGGGTAAATCCTCAGGAGGGCAAGTGGTTAAACCCCCTCTCTCCCCGTCACAGCAGCTCTGAATGTTTAACTGCCTCTAAACTTTGCTACTCCTAAACTCAGGTAAAAGTCTATCTGTGAATGGACACAAAGGTTTTTATTGAGTGGAGTTCAGGGGCTCTGGCAAAAAAAAAGCCAAAAGCGCCTAAACTCAGGTTTAGGAGAAGCAGTGTGCATGAGGCCTTAGATTCTGACAGCAAGACCTTCCAGGTGTAACTTCCGGTTCTGTTGGGCCTTGCTTACAGTACATTGCAACAACAGGAATGCATATACTTCTTAATAAAAGAGAATGCAAAAAAAGAAAGGCAATTATGAGAGGAACATACCCCTAGAAGGTTTGCATACCTATGAACACAAACACAGAGATCCCACCACTAATGTCCCAGAGATACAGTACATACTGTAGGAAACCATATGGTGATTCATCTGCTAAAACTGAAATATCACTTTTGGGGATAATGACCCTCTAAAGTATTTTTAATGGGAAAATACATTTTAAGCTTGGCTATTTAACATATCAAAAATATAATACTGTCTATGATAGTGTACTACAAAATAATTACTTTCAAAGGGAAATAAACATACTTCTAATATCCTCTTGCCAGTTATGACTGATCGGTGAAACCATATATACTGTGCGAGGACCAGCGCACAGGGCCAGACATACATTCCATATTCTGAATCCAATACCTGGAAAATATATTTTTTTTAACATAGTGAACAAAGGTAAAATAGAACAACATTGTCTTGCTTGTACGGTTTTGACAGTTAAGACTGCACTTCAGGCAAACAGCTTAATTCACACTTAGAATGCATTTAACAGACCTGTTTTGCGTGCCAAAGGATTCTCTTCATCTAATTCTGAAATTTACACAACTCTGCCACACAGCACAGCTCTTTCTAGAAAGTCAGAAAACCTGATTTTCCTCCGCTATAGCCAAGTAAAACTTACAGGTCTTGTCCCTTTAGTAGCCTGCGAATGGACAGTGAAAAGAGAAGCAGTTTTATGAGCTTATCTCTGTCACTTTGCTTTCTCCTCTTATCAGCAGTGTTAATTCTGACCTCAAATTTCAATTTAAGCTGGCCATACATGTGTAGATTTGCGGACGTGAATATTTGTAGGAAAAGTCGTATGAAATTCGATGAATGGATGAATGTCGTTTGAAAAGTGTCTTTTGCATTTAACATTCGATTTTAACAGGTTCCCGCCCGGCCTATAGCCAGATGGCAGCCGGCAAAACACCTCGTCCCTCCGGGTGGACGCCATATGGCATCCTTTCAGGCATGCGCAGTTTGCCTGTCCACAGAGCTGCACAGCGGCGCGAACTGTCACCGGCCGTGTACCTCAGACACGGCCGATGACAGATCTATGTACCGGCCCCGTTGCCGGTACCATGTGACCTGCTGTGACCAATCACAGCAAGTCACATGACAGTTGTATACAATGGATGGCTTCCTTTCATGCCATCCATTGTATACAAGTGTGTCTAGCTGTGAATGGTCACAGTGATCACATGCACAAGCTGGGCCAATCACAGCCCAGCTGTGTCATGTGATTAGCTGTGGCCAAAGAAAAAAAAAAATCCTGAATGAATCGATTTCATTCAGGTAAATGCTTGCTTATAGCAAAGTAATTCTTTGCTATAAGCAAATTGTGTAAAAAAAAAAAAAAAATACTAATCACTTCCCCAAGTAGTACAATATTACTATGGTAACATTGTACTACTTTGGTCATAGTGAAATATGAAAAAAAAAATCTTAAAAAAAAAGAGAAAAAAATGTAATAAAAAATAATAAACATATACAAAAAAATTATCAATTTTTTTTTTTGTACTGTCACCAGTCAGTGTCCCTGATCACCGCCATGCCAATTATATGATGACGCTGTACTGCACTGGTGACAGTATAAAAAAAAAAAAAAAGTGAAAATCATTTTTTTTTATTTCTACATTTCCGAAAAATTATGACAAAAAAATTACAACTTCAAAAAACTCACCATGCGTCTTATGTAATACGTCGGACTGTCTACTTTGCAAAAAGGGGTCATTGGGGGAATATCTGTACTGTTCTGACATTCTTGGAGCTCAAGAAATTAGATTGGCCATCAGTACTTCAGGATTGATCAATTTTCAGATATATCCCATATAGTTTGTGAACTCTATAACTTTCCTACAGACTAAATAATAAATACTAATTTGGGTTATTTTCACCAAAGACATGTAGCAGAAAACATTTTGGCCTAAATGTATGAAGAACAATTATTTATTTGAAACTTTTATACCAGAAACAAAGAAAACCGTGGTTTTTTTTTAATTTTTGGTCTTTTTTTGTTAATTTAGCAAAAAATAAAAACCCCAGTGGTGATTAAATGCCACCAAAAGAAAGCTCTAGTTGTGTTAAGAAAATGATAACATTTTAGTTTGGGTACAATGTTGTATGACCGCGCAATTGTCATTCAAAGTGTGAGAGCGCTGAAACCTGAAAATTGGCCTGGGCAGGAATGGGTAAAAGTGCCCGGTATGGAAGCGGTTAAGATGAATGTAATTTCTGAACAATAACCACATACATTGGCTGAAAATTCACTTGATCAAGAAAACTTTTCCTTCCTGCCCCTTCAAATTTTCCCATCACTGCTGTTGAAAACGTACATCGATTTGACACTATTAACGATTAGAAAATCAAAACGAACATTCCTGAAACAAAAATTCTAGAACGAAAAATCTATAGGTGTATGGCCAGCTTTAGTTTTAGTCTTAATTTTTTGACTAAATGCCATTTTAGTTTTGGTTGTAATTTAGTCATCTGAATTGTTTTACTTTTAGTCGTATTTTAGTTTACTAAAATCTCCAATACATTTTAGTTAAATTGTAATGTATTGTTTAAGCATTTCTCTAGAATTTCCAAACTCATATACTCCTGGAGTACAAATCTAATATGTTATTATTTATGGTATTAACCTCACTGCCGATGCGGGGGGACGCATGCCTAGGGTTCAGCTCTAAAGCAGAAGTCCAAGTTTCCTGTCACTTTAACCACTTGCCTACTGGGAATTTTCACCCCCTTCCTCCCCAGGCCAATTTTCAGCTTTCAGGCTGTCACACTTTGAATGACATTGCGTGGTCATGCAACCCTGTACCCATTTTATCATTTTTTTGAGACAGAGCTTTCTTTTAGTGGTGCTTAATCACCACTGGGATTTTTATTTTTTGGTAAATGAAAAAAAGACCAAACATTTTTTTTTTTTTTTAATTTTCCCCTTATTTTCTGTTTATAAAATTTAGCAAACATAATTTTTCTCCTTCATTGATGTGTGCTGATGAGGCTGCACCGATAAGCACGGATATGCAGCACTGATAGGCTGCATTGATAGGCACTGATGAGGCAGCACTGGTGGGCATTGATAAGGAGGCACTGATATGCGGCATCAATGGACACTGATAGGCGGCACTGAAGGTCAATTAAAGGCAGCACTGACTGGTGGCACTGATGGACACTGTTGGAACTGCACTGATGTCCCCTTGGGGCTGTACTGATGTCCTCTTTTACACTTGCCGGTGACATCGTGAGGAAAGTACAGCCGATAACTGGCAACTGTGTTTACATTGTGATCAGCTGTGTCATTGTACACAGCTGATCACGTGGTAAATGCAGCTGTGATTGGCCCTTTACCATGATCTGTGATCAGCTGTGTCCGACGGACACAGTGATCACACAGCATGCCGGGTGCGTGTCCCAGGGGGCACGCAGGAGGCGCAGTTCTGGGAGGACGTCATATGACTCCTTCCCAGAACTGGACTACGGTGCTGCAGCCAACATTCGGCTATAGCCCGGTCATCAAGTGGTTAAAGTGTTTGAACCAGTATGACAGTTAAAAGCTGTAATATGTCAGCTACTTTGTAAGCCATGATACACAAGCATGCTGCCAATATTACCTACAGCTGAGATTCCCCATCCTGGTGAAGTGTGGCATCTCATGCGCTGTCCATAGTGCTGATCCTATATTGTTAACAGCCAAAAGATATAAAGTGAGCGCTTACTATAGCAGCTAATGCACCAAAAAAGTAACCACAAACTTTCTCAAATGAACAAAACATAAACCATAGTGCAGCGCTAACTAAACAAGTAAATAAATAAATGCCAATAAGTTGTTGTCTAAATTAAGTGACCAACCACTCATAAATAAATAAAAGTGAAATATAATATAGTGTCCCAAATTAATCGTTCAGATGGTGATGGTTATCCCCACTGGTGAACAATGGACAGCTTCTATATGTCTCCCCGTGCACATAAAATCCTTTAAAGGAGGAGCCTGCACACGCCATGACGTCACGCCGCCGTATCGAGGAAGTCCGGCGGCCATTTTTTCACCCCAGTTGGTCAGTGTTTTAGCAGTGGTGTTACTGCCTTATTTTATCTGCACATTATTTAAGATTCATCTGCCAAGGTTTACCTTGTATGTGGAGTACTTGCTATATTTTAATTTTATTATTTATAATAATCATCACTAAATACTACACTATGGGAATACATCTTTTTTGCTCCGTGCCGAGCAATTAAATCCATCCAGGACCCCATATGCACCACCAGGATTAGAGGAGGGAGCCAGTGACCAGACCCCATTGCAGTTTACCTGTCCCAGGGCATTTATGAGGGATATCTCTAATACCTGTATCTGCAGAGGAGAGGATCTTGTTCCAGGCTGTACCATCAAGGAAACCTACACTCCTGGTTTATCTGAATTTTGCGCATTAAGATTGCGCTTCCGGTGAATGGTCAATCTTTATATTTTGACCGCTTGTCACCAGATCTCCAGATTTTATGTGCACGGGGAGACATATAGAACCTGTCCATTGTTCACCAGTGGGGATAACCATCACCATCTGAACGATTAATTTGGGACACTATATTATATTTCACTTTTATTTATTGATTTATATGAGTGGTTGGTCACTTAATTTAGACAACTTATTGGCATTTATTTATTTACTTATTTAGTTAGCGCTGCACTATGGTTTATGTTTTGATCCTATATTGTTGCAGTGTCAGCACTGTGAGGGCAGGCTCACATAGAGATTCAGTAGAGATTTATAGAGATTTCACATCTGGCGATTAGAGATTGCAGGCAGAATCGTGGCGATTCTGCCCTCGATGCCAAAACGCTCAGCAATCGTGGCAAAATACACCACGTGTCAGCAAACCGCATCGAGCAAAGTACATCGCCTAAAAAGGAGCAGGAGCTTCTTTTGGGTGACAAGCTTCGGATGATGGGGACTGTTGAGTGACAGTTGTGGCAAAACAGCACCATGAAAATCAATGGCACCCAAACACGCATGATGCATTTTTCCACTATTGCAGTGCAATTTGTAACCTCTGCGATTCTGCTTGTGATCCCAAATTGCCAGATGTGAACGGGACCTAAAGTAAAATTATCTGGCATATGGAAAGACAATAAGAAAGACAAAAACCTAAAATTGTAACATATCTAAACCCAAAAGTTGTTTTCTTTTGGATAAAGAAATTGGTAAAAAACCCTGCCAGTCACAACACTTTGAGATTTTAAAGAGAACCTGTCATTTCAGGATTAAACAGGGTTTAGACAAGGAGAACCCCCCCCCCCCCCCCCACCTATGAAATGGTGACCTCTCCCTCCCCCTGTTTTAAACACTATT